ACATATTTATTTATGCACACCATTTCCATGTTAAATAACTGTGATGCAATGTTTAGGTATATGAAATATATATATATATATATACGCTATATGAAATTTTTAATTCTTCCTTGCTCAAGCATAATTATGAAATTTTCAAGTTTTGTTTAGGCATAAGCTCAAGTTTTTTTTGAAGTCTGACTTGACCAAATCAAACTTCAAAACCTAAGAATCATTAGCAAAAAAAAAATAATAATAAAACATAAAAATGATAAGAAGAAAAAACTAGAACCTAAAAATAATCGATTAAAATTTGTGAAAGTAAAAATAATAATGAAGTGAGAAAAATAATAGTGAAGTATTTTTCTCACAAGTAGTATTGTCAAGATCACACCTTTACATTGAAGTAAATATAAAAATAAATATAAAAAATATATGAAAATATTGCCATCTGAAGAGTAAAAAAAAAACTTTCTCTAATGTCACTAAAAGTTAAGGCAACAAAAAGTTTTAAAAATATTGTTGCTTAACAACAAAATCAATTCGCAAAAAATAGAAAATTATATAAAAAAAAAAAAATAAGATAAAAAAAACTATTAAAATAAGCATTAATAAACAAGCAAGATATAAAAAATTTAAAAAATTTTAAAATAATAAATAATAAAAAAAAAATAGAAACAACCAAGTTGCTATTTTTTTTAAACATCTTCACTTCCAACAAGGCTGCAAGCAACCACTAATTAGAGTTGGAAGTTACTGGAAGAGAAAAGATGAAGAATTTAGAGCAAGATAACGATTGACAGACGACTTAAAAGATTGCAAGTTATATGAATCAGGAAAGTAAGATAAAGGAAGCAAATTTCAAGGAATTGATGTTTAGGGAAAAAAACTAGAGGAATAAGAGTTTTTGGAGCACTTAGGAACAATTACAGAAAAGGATGAGACTTAATTGAATGATGAGTAACGTGAGAATGAATTTTAGTAGATGGCCCAAGAGATGCTAGCTCTTTAGAGCAGTGCCCATTATATTATTTGTAGAAAAGAGAAAGAGAAACAACATAACAATGATGTGATAATTGTTGAAGGTTGGCTGCAAGAGCAGATCCAACTATGTTTACAATGCGTTTTTTGCACTTTGTCTAAAAGAGAAAGAGCATCATTAAAAGATCTGCCCCAGATATGACAACGCCAGTTTTGAGATTTATAGAGATAGAGAATAGAATCTGGAGTAAGAAAGTGCCGAGCTCAATAAAGAGATGCAGATTTTTGCAGATGCTAATTTTGCAACGGATATGATATATGGTTTTCAAGAAAGATCGGAAGTAAGAGTTAATCCTAGAAGATGAAGGGTAGATGACCCATCAAGTACATTGCCGTTCTAAAATATAGGAAGGTCTAAATTGTTGTGATAACCATTGGCTAAAAAAAATTTATTTTTATCTGAATTAAAGTTCACCGGCCACTGTGAGCCCCATGCTGTAGCAGAAGTGAGATCATTTTCAAGCTCAAATGCCTCCTCCAAGCAATCATAGAGTGTTAGCTTCTTATCATGACAAGAATAAATGGTAGTATCATTAGCGAACAATGCCACCTTAGATGTGAGACTATCTGGAAGATGTAAATGTTAATGTAAATTAAAAAGAGTATAGTGCCAAGGATTGAACCTTGAGGAACCCCTGAAGTTACAGAATAAGAAGAAGAGTGCTGTCCATTGAAGACAACTTTTATGCTCCAATTGAAAAGGAAAGATCCAATCTTGCATACCAAACTTTATCAAAAACTTTAGAAATATCAAGAGCAATGATCTTAACCTTTCCACCTTTATCAATTCAGGATAAAACCTATCGGTTCTTACTGTTAGCAAATCAGCTGTAGAACAAGAAGATCGAAATTGATATTGATGATCAGAAAGTAAGTTATTAGATTCAAGATGAGATTAAGTGTGAAAAAGATTAAGTGTTTGTTAATTAAAGATTCAAAAACCTTGCCTATGATAGGAAGAAGGCTAATGGGATGGTAATTAGACGAATCAGATTGCTCTCCAGAATTTTTGAAAATAGAGATAACAGATGCTGCTTTCCATCAGGCTGGAAAACAAGACTCTGATAAGTACTTGTTGAATAGTTTTGAAAGTATAGATGACAGCTCCAGAGAACACTTCTGCAAGACTATAACAGGTATGTTATCCAGGCCACAAGCTGTAGAAGAGTTTAAGCAGGAAATCACTTTAAATACAGAAGCTGGAGTGATACGAATGTCAAGCAATAGATCAACCTGTTTGACGGCTATATTTGGTAGAACGCAACTAGTGGAATCAAAAGATGATACTGATGAAAAGTTCTTAGCAAACAATTCAGCTTTGTTTTAAAGTGAGGTGACAAAGTCTGAACCATACAATAGAGGTGGAGTTACAGATTTGCCCTTATTATTGATACTACTAAAGATACTCCAGAAGTCGCAAGAGCCTAATTTTTGTGATGAAATAAGAGATTTTATGACCTGAGAATAATGGGCTTTGGCATTAGACAAAACCTTTTTACAATGGTTTCTAGCAGTAATAAACAAATGTATGTTTTTAAAAGAATTTTTCTGCTGATAGGTATGGAAGTAACGATTTCAATTGGCAATTGCAGCAGTACAATGTGTGGAAAACCATGAAGAAGAGTGAGGCTTGACCTGGAATTGTCAAGAGGGAATAAAAGATTCCATGCCAGCCTGAACCCACGAAGTTATGTAAGAAGCACATTTGTCAACAGGAATACAAAAGATTTCTACTCAAGGGCCATCACAAAGAAAATCCTGGAAAGAGTCCCAGTCAGCTTTAAGTTAGTTGTAAGAGGTATGATGATAGGGGTATTCAGATTATGAAGAAGAATGAGATTTAGAGAGATTTAGAGAGATGAAACTAGTTTTAGAGGGATGAAACTGTGATCAGAAGCATCTAAGGATGAATTTGGAGAAACTGAGCACTGTTTAAGATCAGAAACAAGACAAGTAGAGAACAAGTTTAAGATCAGAAACAAAACACTGTTTAGGATCAGAAACAAAACAAGTCGAGAAGAGAAGGTAAATGATTTGGGTTGTCTGGAAAGGGAGTTAGAAGTTAAATATTTGAGTTAAGGATTGAGAAAGGCAAAAGTTGTGAGCTTTAATGCCTGCAGAGTCACTGACACTAGAGCCAATCTATTCAGTGTGATGAGCATTAAAGTCACCGACAACAACAATATTAGCTGATGGATAAAGAGAGAATGCTTAGTCAATATGATCAGAAGTAACAGTTCAATCTTGAGATGAAAAGTCACGAGTTCAGTCTTGAGATGAAAGAGAGCGATATAGAACAAAGAGAAAAACAATAGAGTGAAGTGGTGCTAAACGAAAGCACATAAAAGAGTAGTCAATGGATTCAAAACTATTTTCTCAACAAACGGGTGATTTTTTATGAATGTAAATGCCCAGGCCAAGCATGCGACTATTGGAGTCTTTACGAATTAAAGGAAGATAACCATCGAAACTAAGATCATAAGATGAAACAACTGAACTCAAATTACTTTCACAAAGAGCAAGTAGGTCTGGTGAACTTTGCAAGAGATAAGACTATACAGAAGAAAAGTTACTTCGAAGACCATGAATATTAGTGAGTGATAGGTTTAGAGAACTTGGTGATGACAATGGTTTTTTGTGTTTTATAGTTTTTGTTACTTTATTCATTTTTAAATCTCTTAAAGAACTTGACTTAAAGCATAGGTAGTACTCAGTACACTGTTTAATAGCCCTAGTAATTGCCTCATTACTATTAATAAACCGTAACAAAGGGCTCCAAATTTGGTCTTGCCAATGTACACCAAAAGTACAAACAGGGACACCATCCATGCGCAACATGGCACTATTAATACTTTGATATTTTTCACCTGTTGATGGAATAAGCTTTTCTGAGAGCTACCACAGAGTTCAGGAAACCTGACTACCAGCCGGCCTCAGAACCATAAAACTGAGTTTTAGAGCTGTACCCTCATTAGGAGATAATAGAATGAATTGCCTAGTCATAAAAACAGAGACACAAGCAAAATCCATGCATCAAGTCTATAAGATCCAGCATTCAACATCTTAAACTAGAAACAATGTATTAAAAATACATCTGCGCCAGCCTAATAGATGAAGAAAGGGTGCGAGGCTGGATAACAGATAGAATCTGTTTAACCCCTTAAGTCTTTGCCTAGGAGGATAAATAACATTACAGAAAATCAAGGACAGGTTTAATAATCAAAGACAGAAAATCAAGAACAAAATCAAATTAATAATAATCAAAATAGTAATAAATTAATAATAGTAATAATAATAATAATAATAATAATAATAATAATAATAATAATAATAATAAAATTAAAATAATCAAATTAATAATAATCACAAAAGAAAATCAAGGACAGGTTTAATAACATTACAGATAATCAAGGACAATCCAGAAACAATACTTAAAAAGGGCAATAGTAATAAGCAATAAAGTAAAATTTCCATTATTTACATGCAATTAAATCAATGTCAACTATAGGGTTAACGAACATAAGGTAGATGAATTATAAGGCAGATGAGTTACAAAGTAGATAGATGTAAGGTAGATGAATAGAGGCTTTCTTCTTATAAGTAAGCTTTAAAAATTGTTTGTTGAAAGTTGATCACAATTTTTCAACTACTTTGCGCAGGCTAATTTTTGCTTCTGTCAATTGTACCATAAAGTTAATGCTCAGGTAAAGCCTGTGTTTTAAACCAGAGCATGTAAATGAAAATAGACAGGATCATTTGTAGAAAAATAAAATGATTTTTTAACAATATTTTACTAAGTAATTTTTTAAAATCTTTTTAATTTTTGATAATTTTTTGTTTTTTTAATTTTATTTTAATTACTAATTTATTTTGATTTCTCTTTTTGTTTGTATTTTTATTTTGTTGATTATATATGTTGTATTTATTTATAGTATATTGTTATTATTTTTTCATTCTTTATCTCCTTAAATATGCTTTAGGTGAAAAATCGTCCCAGATTACTGGTAAATACGAGTGGAATATTTACAAAAAAAGTCAATTAACTACAAAATATTACTCATTAGAGATTGAATTTCAAAAATCTTTTTTTTCAAGATCAAATAATCGGGGTTTTGTTGTTGGTTTTGTAGCTTATGATGAAGGTGAATTCAATTAATACATTTTTCTGTCTTTTCTTTAAAAAATTTTTTTTTTTTTTAATGAATTATCTTGGAGAATTATTTTTAAGCTTTCTTATAGCTGTGATTTTTTTTAAAGCTATATCTGTTACTGCTGTAACTTGGAAGTTTATTGTTGGTGGAGTATTTGCGCTACTTTTTTTTATTGTATTTATTGCTATATGCTGTTTTCGAGCATATAAAAGAAGACAAACTAATACCCAAGTACAATATTCAAGTGCACAATATGGTACTGTACAACCAGAATGTTCAGATTCTTATCCTAAAGTTCAACCTGGTTATCCCCAACAAGCTGGCTATCCCCAACAAGCTGGCTATCCTCAACAACAACCTGGTTACCCTCAGCAACAAGGTGGCTATCCTCAGCAACCATTTGGTGGGTATCCTCAGCAAGCTGCTTATCCAACACCAGTTGAATATCCAGTCAAACAAGGTTACCCTGTTGATTTTACACAATATCCTCCTCCTACTCATCAAAATTTAGGTACTTAATACTTTCTAAAACCATTAGTAAATATGTAATTTTTTTTTTCTCATTTCTTTTATTGTTTTCATTTTTACTTTGTAAAATTAAAAAAAAATTTAAACTTTTATATCTTGACAAAATTTGTTAATATGTAGAAAATTTTGACAAAATTTGTTAATATGTATTAAATTTTGACAAAGTTGTTAATATGTATAAAATAACTTATATCATAATGCACAAAGCATATTCCATATCAACCTCCATATTTTATGAGGAACTAAGGTCGTAGTTATTTTTTTTAAATTAGTAATATTAACTATGGTTTTCCCTATGGCACTAGTGAACTTTTTATCATTCTTAAAAAAAAATGTTTTTTTAAGACTTGACATTGTGTATAAAATACAAAATTGTATTTTATACGCAATGTTTGTACAGAATAAATTCTACTCATCTATGCTAATCTAAAAGTAAGTACTAAAATACTTTAGACTTTCTTATCTTTAAATAAAAAAAAATCTTGAAAATTGTTATTAAAAGACAATTTTCCTGTCAATCTAATAGTTTTGTTTTTCAAAATGTCTAATATATTTTTTACTTAAAAAAAAATTATTTACTATAAATTTTACATCTCTGAAATTGTAACTAATAATTAAACTTTTATTTTTAAAAATGTCTAGAGTGTACCTTTTTAAACCCATACCCTTAGTTTATATATATATTGAGGCTCTTGCAAATAGCAGTTTCAGTATGATATTATCTGTGGCATTTTATGTAACTGGAAAGTTTTTTTCTTTTTCTATAAAAACAAGTTTTGACGCATTAGTACATGTTTATTTAGCACGTGTTTTGCTCATTATTTTTATTGTTTAAAGTATTCATTCAAACATAGGAAAATAACTCAAACAAAGATATTTTTTGTTTGTCTTCATTATAAAGTGATAGTGTAAACATGGCTACTGATAAATTTCATTTGCGTCACTGCATTTTATACGAATTTCAACAGGAAGAAATGGTACAGAACCATGTAGAAATTTATTGAAAGTGTTTGGTGAAAGTACTATTTCTGTTAGAAGATGATTCCAAAAATTTCAAACCAGTGATTTTGATATTTCTGATCACTCATGTTCTGGGCTTTGATCTTTGATTGATAAATATGTTATTAAAAACATTTTAGAGACAACATTTTTCTGACAATATTTGATTACTCAAACACTTGATTCAGCTCAGCAACCCGGAAAACCTAACCCTTCATCTAAACCACATTAGACTCTGAATAAGAGAGTGTTGTGTATATGGTAGGACATTTAAGTACCAATACATTATGAGCTTTTAAAACCCAATGAAAAATCTATATTTGGAGAAGTGTTGTTAGCAACTGGATAATTTAAAGTCAAAATTCAAGAAAAATTTGTCAATGTTCAATAGAAAGGACATCATATGCATCATGAAAAGGTCAGACTGCATGCTGGGGACTCATCAAAAACTAGGCTGGGAAATTGTATCCACCATATTATCCAGACTTAGTGCTCTCCAACAATCACTTATTTTTGTCCTTACAAAATTTTTTGAATGGCAAGAAATTTAAAAACAAATAAGATACCAATAAGCGCAAGTTTGATTTTTTGAATTAAAGGATAAAATGTTTTTCAAAAAAAGAATATACAAATTACCAACTCACTGGCAAGAAGTCATTGAAATCAATGGCAATTTATTGTTAAGTAAGGTTTATAGGTGATATCAAAAATTTGTTCTTTCCGGTAGACACATTAATTTAATTGCAGGAACTAATTAAACCACAAAAACGCAATTTAAAAAAGTAAAAACATTATTAGAATGTTTTTATTTAAAAAAAAAAAAATAATCAGAATGTTTTCAAAAACATTTTAAATGTTTTTAAAAACATTCTAAATGCTTTTAAAAACATTCTAAATGCTTTTCAAAACATTCTAAATGTTTTTTAAAACATTCTAAATGTTTTTAAGAACATTCTAAATGTTTTTGAAAACATTCTATATGTTTTTAAAAACATTCTAAATGTTTTTAAAAACATTCTAAATGTTTTTAAAAACATTCTAAATGTTTTTAAAAACATTCTAAATGTTTTTAAAAACATTCTAAATGTTTTTAAAAACATTCTAAATGTTTTTAAAAACATTCTAAATGTTTTTAAAAACATTCTAAATGTTTTTAAAAACATTCTAAATGTTTTTAAAAACATTCTAAATGTTTTTAAAAACATTCTAAATGTTTTTAAAAACATTCTAAATGTTTTTAAAAACATTCTAAATGTTTTTAAAAACATTCTAAATGTTTTTAAAAACATTCTAAATGTTTTTAAAAACATTCTAAATGTTTTTAAAAACATTCTAAATGTTTTTAAAAACATTCTAAATGTTTTTAAAAACATTCTAAATGTTTTTGAAAACATTCTAATTGTTTTTGAAAACGTTCTGAATGTTTTTGAAAACATTCTAACACCACTTATCAATATTTGATATTTTTCTGCACATTGCTTGTAGGTTAGGCCCTTTTTTTAATCACAAATGACCTGAGATCAGATGTCCAATGAATAATTTTGATAATGAACCATTATTATTGTTAGTTTTAATTCTGAAAAAGTATAGTTTAAAATGCTTATTTTTAATAAATTTAACAAAATCTCTTTAATAATAGTCATTTTTAATAAATAGCTGTTGACAAAGATTATATTTCATAATAAAAACTCAAATGTTTAAAATTTGAGTTTTTATTATCTATTAACTTTTTAATCAAAAATTTAATAGAGTTACTTTTGTTAGGAGTTATAAAAAGTTATAAATATATTTACTTTTCTTAGTAATCAAATTTTTAAAAAAGCATAAAATTATTGCAGTTATGCAGATCTTGACGAAAATAATTTTGTTTTTATTGTTTTATAATATTTATTGAGTATCAATTTTATCAACAATGTTACTTAATTTTGTCCATGACTGTGTGTGTGTGTATATATATATATATATATATATATATATATATATATATATATATATATATATATATATATATATATATATATATATATATATATATATATATATATATATATATATATATATATATATATATATATATATATATATATATATATGCTGCTGTTTGCAAATGGTAACAACATAAGAATTTCTGTATATTAATTAGTTACTCATATAGGTGTTTGATAAATGTTTTTATTTAGAATAACTATTTTTTTTAGTACTAAATATTTTCAAGACTAAAACAAAAACAAAAAACTTTTAGTTAAGGATTTTGCTGTACATGCATATATGATTAGTATGTAATGTAATTTTATTCATGGCATATTTAACTTTTATTTTATATGTATATATATAACCTATAAAAGTCATGTACAGTTTGGCTAATGAAGCAAAATGTACCCTATGCAGTCCTCTCATAAGATGAAAATATTTGAGCACATCAGGTCTGATCACCCACATGAGACCTATCCATAATATAATTATCAAAAATATTAAAGTAGATAAAGCATCTGTTGCTGAAGTTTTCAAAAAACAAATGAAGATAGACAGATATATTAGCTGCAAAACTTTGGCTAAATTGTTGGCAAAATGTCCTGCCAAGGATGCGATTTCAATAGAAATGATGATTCAGAATCAGATTGCAATGACAATAATGATCTTTAGATTTGCTCATAGAAGCAGCAATAAAGCATTTCGATGTAGCATTAAGTAATAATTAAATAAATTAAAAAATAATTCACATAAGTTGATTAAAATTTTCAAGTTGAAAATAAAAGCAGATGATAAAACATGACATCTTAACTCAGTTGAACGCATTAATTCATTATTAAAAAGTTAAAATTAAAACCATGCCAATTGAAGCTTCCAGATACTGGAACAAATAGTTAAAATGAGAAAGTCAATTTTAAAGATATTTTGAAAGTGTTAAAACCTATTAAATTGGCTGTTAATATGATTAAATTGTTTCATACTGCGCAATATGTGCGCAATATAATATATGGCTGTTAATAATACTGTGCAATGCGGCTGTTAATGGTTAAATTGTTGAAGAATTCAACAATTTAACCAGTGGTGTTCACATGTTTTTATTTAAAAAATTATAAGGAAAAGTTCACTCAGGAAGCGATATGATGAGCAATGCAATAGATTTAGTGTTGCTATTCAGACCTTTGCAAAACTCAAGATTAAATATGTCACAAAATGATGTTGGCTTCATCAAAATTAGCAATGATTTAATATGGCAAAAATATATGACATAATAAAATAGGTAGCTGTGGTGGCTTCATTACATACATCAACTGACTATCTAGATAGATATGCAAGGGAGTGCTGCTACATTGACTAAGGGTTTGGGTTGGGGCAGCAATTGTTTTTATCATTATTCTCTGTTTTTTTCTTCATTTTCCAAAAAAAACGTTTTTCAGCAAAATCAGTTCGCAAATGAATATCTAAATGCACTATAGTAGATATGTGTGTTAGGGTGTTGACTTTTAACACCTTTTTATGAAATTTTTGAAACAAAGCATTACATTAAACATTATAGTGGATGAGTATTTATGTATATTAGTTGAATATATCTGTTATTTGATTTAATTTAAAAAAAAAATCAAACACATTTTTTTAATTAATTTAACATTAAAGTTAAGCTATTTGAAAAGATGTTGTGTTGGGTATATATATCAAATAAATAAATCCCACAACAGAATAAATACACACTAAAAATCATCTCTGAAAACATTAACATATAATAACAAATAATAATATATTAGTAGTATTACCTTTCATGCAAATCAAAGATAACTAAATTTTATTTTGAAAATGTTTATTTTTTAAATATTTCTCTCTTTTAATATAATGGAATAATTTTAGGAACACTTTTTTTAGAATGTCATATAAGCAATTTAATTAACAAAAACAAGAAAAATTGGGCAAAGAACTTAGAAAAAATAGATTTTACAATGTTACTAGAAAATTTGTAGTCAGTATTGACAATTTAAAAACAGT